GCGAGCGCTGCGCGGGGCCGGGCGGGGGGCTGCGGGGTCTGCCCCTGCCCGCTGGGGATCCGCGATCCGCCCGCCGTCCCGTCCCTGCTCCGCGGCCACCTTCGCGCAGGCGGCTCGCGTAACGTGCGCTTTTCCCTCTGCTTTCCAGGCGCCGCGTAAGGAAACGCGGAGCGCAGCCCCCCGGCCCGGGAAGGAGCGAAGATGGACATCCCGCGGCTCCCCAGGGCGCGTGTTTCTGTTTGTCAGTAAGTAAGAGCACTCCGGAGGGCTGGGGAACCGGCTGTTTTTAAAAGTCTATAAATCCTTCACTGTAAAGTTTTCTTTTTGATTTTTTTTTAATTTCCTTGTAGTCTGTTAGGTTGAAAGTGTTGTGCTTTTTCGCCCTTTCTCACAGGCATGTGGGGCTTCTGCTGATCCTAATGGAAATAGTGCTGTCAGCCGTCAAAGTAGATGCTGTAAGTAAAACACCTTGTGACTTTTACTGAGGGGAGAGAAGGGAGAAACAGTTTCCTTGGTACCAGAGAGCAGGGAACTGCATTTTGCTTTGCCATGGCTTTTCTACCATTTTATTAAAAGAAACAACAAGCAAATCATCTCCGCGAGCCTTATGAATTCTGGCCTTCAAGAAATGATGTGTACCAGACAATTGTAAGACTTTGGTGTCAGGTGCTTTGAAATATCCTGCAGTTACTTTTGCTCATGCCAGACAACTTGTTAAAGCGATAATGAGCACTTAGAAGCAAGCCCTAGACTGCTTCATTTTCACAAGGAAAGCACAGCGACAGATGAGTAGGACGAAAATGAAGTGTTACAGTTGCTAGAGAGTAGGTTGGAGAAGGTAACTTTGGAGAAGAAATAGCTTCACTTAAGTACAGATCTCATCTGAGAACTTATATTGAAACTATGGCTTAATTTTACAGATCAGAGTACATATACTATTGTTTAAATTAAATTGTTACATCAAAAAAAAAAAGAAATAGTAAATTAAATGCCATAAAGGTGATTGTGATGGTGATGCAAACAGAAATTATTAAAACTCTTGGATCATTGAAATAAGAGGGAGAGCTGTGTACACTTGTTGCAATGCCTGGTGAATTTAATTGGGAGATTTTTGTGAGTGCCAGTAGGCTTTAGGTCAGGCCTGAATACTGCAGGCTAAAAGGTTGCTAAGACTTAGCCCGTGACTGCTTTTGTCAGTCACTGGGTGAGAGTGAGACTTTGTGGTCCTGAGCCAAGGGCAAATAGGAGCTCGGTTAGTTTTGTTTTTAAAGTCATCCTACTTATATTTTATTCCTACTCTCTGCAACGTTTACTAATTTACACTCCTCATAAATGTCTGGTGTAGTTATATATTTGTAGTGAGATGGCATAATGCATTAAAAAGTGACAAAGATCTGCTTTTGCAGCAGATACTGCAGCACATTATGGTGGGTTTGCACCCCAGCTGAGTGTGTGCCCTTCGGACTGCATGGACACGCGTGATTGTGCTTGGTGATGCATTGAGGTCGTGCTCCACTGTGGCCAAGTGAGAAGCGAGCAAGGACCTTGAGTGTCACGTGTTCCTTGTCTTCGTCATGTGTTTGTGATGAAGTCATCATTCCACTGAATCGTGCGAAATGAATATTTGCCACACAGTAGCGAAACTGGAGCAGGTTGATGATATTTAGGCCCAGTAATGAAATCACTGGGATCAGCTGACATAAAACCGTGGCATTTGCAGCATGCGTCTTCCTTTTATGAAGTGGTGCTGCAGACTGCATGGTATGATACATGAGCTGGAGCTATAGCATAGGCTAATTTTTCTCCTGTGTATTCTTGCATCTCTACCGCAGGCTGCTATGTAGTATAGGTATATACTGAAGAGATATTTGGCTACCTCAGCTAATGGATATGTTCTGACCATGGCTGTTTGAATCCTCATGTGCTGTTTGTCCCAGAATTTCCAGTCGGAATAAATTATCATGCACAGAGGTCTCACCTCCCTGGTTCCCAAGGTGGCTGTGCAGATGAAACACTCCATTCCCCGGGGATGGCAAAGCGAGCGTGGGTGAGGAGTGGGGTCACCAAAACTCTTACCCATTTCCTGCCTTGTGCCACTCCCTTCCCTCATCCAGAGCAGGTTTTCCTGTAATCACATGCTGAGCTGAATGGGAAAATTATTGGCTTAAACTACCCACCCCCCAAAAAGAGAAGAGAGAGCTAATCTGAGGCTGAATTAGATCACCTCTGTTATTCGTAAGCGCTCGGGCTGGCACAGTGCTCAGATGAGCAGCTGGGGGTGGGAAGGAAGGTGGCCTTGCTCTTTCCAGGGGCAGCTCCGCTTGAATGTGCTCGCAAAGTTACGGCGCGTGTT